CAGGAACTCAGCAGATACTGTAGCACAGCTGACTTGAAGCTGAGATTTTCCCAGCAGTTGCATTAGCTCTTGGGATTCCACGTATTTCTAATCAACTGTCCTTTAGGTTAAATCTTAATATATTTCTAAAACAACTGGTAGTTAAAAATGTGATCCAAAATGTCACAGATCACCTGGTACAAGAACAGAACCGTGTTTTTTTTTTTTTTTTTTCCTCCAGAGCTGGAAACTCATTCCCCAAGAGCCAAACAAACAAAACAAAACAAAAAAAACACACCCAAAAAAGCAACCCACAAGCAGGAGTGTGTGTGGAGAGCAGTGCCCGGGACTGGTCTCAGGCCTTGTCCTTGGCAAGGAAGGCGTTAACCCAGAAAGTCACCGCTGAGCAGTGAACAAACCACCAGAAGATGCTGGCGGTGAATAAAAGAGCTAGCAGAAACCAGGACAGTAAATAACTGGTGGTGAAGAGAGCGGAGTTTGGTCTATTTGAACGATGTACTGACACCTGCAAACTGGGTGCAGGCATGGGCAGACTGGATGAATGGTGTATTTTGTTTCTAATTAGACTTAAAACAAGGTTGAATTTGTTGGAGGCCCGGCGAACAGGCAGCTGAAGCAAGGAAGGGACCCACTAATCGGTTTCAGCAGAAGGGTGGCACAGCTTGCTCGGGGACTTAATGAAGATTTGTTGGTCAACAACACTCTCCCGACCTCCTTAATGCGCTCTCTATTTAATTTGCTCTGCTGCTGGAGTAAATTTAAAGCCCCCAGGTCAGTCTCAACTTTCATGGCTCTTGTGCTCTCTGCAGTGTCAGCAGGACATGCAAACTGAAGATGTAGCATTTAGAACCGGAGCAAAGTATTTTTCTTCTAATGAAACCCAAAGCCAGGTGAAATTTTGGGGAGAGACGAAACAGGATATGCAGTCTCTCTGGGGGCAGGGAGGTTCATAGCACTCAGAAACTTGGCCCGTGTTTCTGCTCTCCTCCCTCTCTACTCCACAAAGGGCTCGCAGCATTTTTTTAGACAGACTTGGATCCATCGCAGTTTGTGAGAGAACCTGCTGGGAATTTTGGTGATTTCTGCATGCTAAGGCAGAGGAAACGTATGTTTCTGCATTGTGTTTCCAGGGAAAGTAGGAAGATGACGTTTAAAATAAAACTCAGCAGATGGGAATCTCACACAGGCGGACGCAAGGAAATGTTTAAACAAGCTTTGTCCGCAGTCCTCGAGCTCAGGATTTAGCAGCTAAGGCACGGAAAGGCTTCAGGAAGACAATGAAATGCATTTTGGCTTCCAGCTCAGTTCCTCCAGCAGGCAGTGAGAGTTGTGCTTGTGAATCTGAGGACAGAATGCAGCCAGCAGTATGGGAAATAGATGTAATGTGAGAAACTCTCGTGCTATATTATTATAGTCTGAACTGTTTCCATCATTTTGGGTTAAGTAATTCCCCACTATCCATCTCCAAAGTGCAAGCAGTACTGCCTGGATGTGCCCCAGGGACAGGAAGCAAACCAGCCTTTGAATCTTTTCCCAACCTTACTGCTCATATTTTGCTTTCAGTGAATAACTGCTCAAATCCTTTAATATTTCATTCCCATAAAAATATATTTACCAGGGTTTTTGTGGCAATGCTGAAGCTGCGTTTATTATTTTAGGAACACCACACGACTGGCTTCAGAGAAAAGACAAGGTAGGAACACAGAGTGCTGCAAATGCATCTGAGAACAGCATGTTTTCCACCTGTTGAGGCAGCAGCCACAGTAACAGATGCACATAATAATTAATGGTACCTCAAAGGCAGTGACAAGTCCTGCAACTTCTGCTCCCCACCTCGCCGACAGCTTGATAACAGAGTGACAAAGGAGGGCACGAAGCGCTTTGAGGAGGAGGAAACCGCAGCTCACACGAAAGGGAGACTGGAAGGTAGGAGATGCAGGGGAAGGCTCTGAGGCAAGGGGATGCTGAAGGAAGAGTGCAGCTGAGCAGCTTCGGGAGCCTGCCTTGTTTTTACAGAGGCGGCCAGGCTTTTGCAAGTACATTTTTTTTCCAGGTCTGCTCTCATTTCTACCTTTAATAACATCAGAAAACAAATACGTGCCCCACACATCTACTGGTGCTATTCCTTCCCAAGGATGAGTTGTCCCATAGGGCCAGCTGGCAGGGCGGCAGGGTGAGGGTCTCATGTAGGGGGTAACGTGATGGGAGGGCAGAAGCGTGAGCATGTCCTCTCCTCCCTGCTGAGATAGGGCACAGGGCTACCCTTTTGCTTTTTTTTAGGGAAAAGGCTGCAGGATGGGGAGAGGGCTGCAGGGCATGTGAAACTTCCAGCCCTCATTGCTGGGGCTGGTGAGGCCCTTCTTCCCCCTGCACTGGCAACCGCGAGGGAGGAGGTGGGAGCCAGGCCTGGATTTTGGCTGCGTGAGGACCCTGGGGCTGTGGCCACATGAGCACGGAGCTGGTCTGCAGTCCCTCATGGAACGCAGGGGACCCTTCCTTGCGGGGCTTCGCAGGGCAGGGAATGATCTCAGCCCTCATTTAATCTTGACAGAAGCAGATGATGGGAAGACTGTGTGCCGAGTTGGAGTTTTCCTTTGAATTCCTGCTTCGTGGAAGGCGAAAAAAAATGCAGTATCCTTTTTACCCTGGTACGGTTCTGTCTCCAGCTCCCCATATAGACAGTGCGTCTGCTGGTAGGTATTTAGTAGGAATTAATTTAACCCAGTCTTCTCTTGCTGTGCTCTCTTACTCCAAGCAGCCCAATGGCTTCCCCAGCCCTACGAACATACTTCCTCAATAAGCATCTCCTGAGGAGGAAGGCCACTGATATTCAAAATCCCATTTCTGCCTGAACACTCCATCCTAGGGCTTCTCTGGCCTATTAATTAAAAAAGAGACAAGGCGCCTGGACCCCCACTTCTTAATTTTTCCCCAACGTTTTGTTTGTGAACTGCTCTGTATTTTATTCATAGCCTGTTTCACTTTTTCCCCTTTGTAACTGGTTTCCAGTTCCTCTCATCCCAAGACTCTTGTAACCAGCAGATGAGAAGAAACCCCTTACCCCTTCTTTCATAGCGATTACCTCAAATAGTTAAGAAATTTAAATAAAAGCTGGACAAGTATTTAAAGAAAAAAATTCAACTTTAAGCATCTTTTTCAGTGAGAGCCCCTTTCCCTGGGAGCAGCTGGAAAGCCGACTCGAATGTCCCCAGCCTGGCAGTTCCTAAGGGCAGAGCCCACGCTCAGCCCCAGCGGGGCGGCTGTCTCAGGGCCGCTGGGCCCGTTGTTGGCCGGGGTGCGTTCGCAAGCAAGCGCAGGGTACTTGCCTGGCAGCGGGGCTCCGGCGCAGCGTGTCGTGGGTCACCAGAGTGTGAGCAAGGGCCCTGAGCTTCCTCCGGCTGCGCCGCTTGCACAGGGGCTTCCCAGCCCCTCTGTGTTGTGTTTATTCAAGGTCTATTTTTAATTGTGTTAATTATAAACCATAACTCCCCGCTGTCTTTGCGCTCAGGAGCGGGCGGCAGGACAGGGCGCGCGGGCAGGGGCCGGGGCGG